CTCTAAATACTACCGCCGCTACGCGATAAAATCTTAACCGATATTTATATATATCCTATAGTAAGATATTAAGGAGTTAGGAAGACTCTTAAATAAATATAATAAATATACGATTACTAAGGAATTAAGGTAAATATCGTATATATTATCGGATAGTACGAGGATTATATATATAATAAGGCTACCCGGTATAAATTATATAGAGAACTAAAGCTATTATTAGTACCTTTAAGACTATAAGAATTAATAGCCTTTAATTATATTATAAAGCTACTTAAATTTAAGGAATTAGGATCTAATATTAAATATAATAATATATTTATTATTATAGACTAAATAAGTAAATTCGGATATTTCTTATTATATTAAAAAGTAATAGATATAGAGATACTCGTATATATAGTATTTAAATATATCGTAGCTAACCACGGCCTTCCGGAAGAAATTATTTTAGATCGAGGAACGATATTTACCTCGAAATTCTAATAAGCTTTAATAGCTTAATTTAAGACTAAATATAAGCTTAATATAGCTTATTACCTATAAACGGATAGATAGATAAAAAGGTTAAATTAAATATTAGAATAATACCTATAGTATTATATTAATTATAAATAGGATAACTAAGTATCGAAGTTATTACTCGCCTAACTCGCTTATAATAGCGTATTTACGGAATTAACTAAGATCTTACTATTCTACGCGAACTATAGATACGAACCTAAGTTTAGTAATAAAATACTAAGGGATAGACCTCTTATTAAAAAAGTAATACTTAAAATTAATTAATTATACTCTTTATATAAATATATAAAGAAATAACTTAAATTCGTGCGCTTACGAATATCGAAATACTATAATTAGAAAAGATCGAAGGGACCGATCTTTCGGAAGGGAGATATAGTTTACTTATTATATAAAAACTTTATACTAACTCGACCTTTACTAAAGCTTAATTATAAGAAACTTAGACTATTTAAAATCGACGAAGTTATCTTAGATACTAACTATAAACTTTTATTACCCTTAAGTATAAGGATATACCTAGCTTTTTATATTTTATTACTTAAAAAAGCACTATAAAATATAAAAATAAGCTATAAGTTAGAAGTTTTTGAAGAACTTTATAAACTAGAACGAATAATCGATAAATAAATAATTAATAAAGAAACTAAATACTTTATTAAATAGAAAGGATACGCTAGTAGCGAAAATATATAAGAACCCGCTAAATATCTTAAGAATTACTAGGGCTTATTTTATTATTTCTATCGGCCTAACCTAACGCCTAGGTATATTATAAAGTAAATATAGTAAAATCCTCTATAAATAAGGGCTCCGGGGGACCGTTACTAAAGTATTCCTCTTAATTCTCTAGGAAATCTAGAGTTATAAGGCTATCTATCGAAGAACGAGCTATAGGATTACTAGATATAGAGGCCTCCGATTAGCGAGTACTCTCGCGCTCGGCCTCCTTACGCTCGATACACTCTAGCTCCTCTATATTATCGATACCACGAGATACGGCTTATATTATCTTCTTTAACTATAATTTCTTTTATTTTCGTAAGCGCTTTATTTTAATATTTATTATATAACGAGCCTCTTCCGCCTTCTTTAGTTCGGATTTAAAGCGGGTATATTACGCGGTAATTTAGCGTAATTATTATAGCGAAAGTACTTTAATATCGTAATAAGAGAGATTAAGACGAATATACTTAAAATAGCGCGAGGAGTCCTCCTTAAAAGTAATATATTTATAATTATTCTTTTTATAAGCGGAATAAATATTCTTTATCTTCACGGAATTTAGGAATATAACCTCGAGAAGAGCGTTACGTTATTCGGTTTTCTAGGAATAAGAGTTACGAGTTTTTATAACGCGGTTTAGTATTTTAGTTAGCGTACTATAGGAAGAAAAGAAAAAAGGCTAAGAATATATATTACGGTAATTAATATAGTTTTAATTAATTCTAGGATAGAATCCCGGAAGGGGGGATATTATATTATGACTTAATATACGACTACTAATATATATTACGTAGGACTTATAAATTCGTTATATAAATCCTATTTTCGCACGACTAAGGACTTATTATTTTATACTAATTACTTTAAATTATCTATGAAATACTATAATCCGGATTATCGCGCTTATCTTATAAGCCTTATAATCCACGAGTATTATTCGCTTCACGTAATAATCCCCTTAGTATATAAGAAGCCTAGCTTTACTATAGTTAGTCTTTACTAGCTCCTTAGCTATTAATATAATTATCTACGTAAGATCTACTATCTCGTATATAGACTATAACCCGACCGCTTAAGTTAACGATACCCTAGTATACTTAGTTTATAAACCGACTTTAGACCTATCTACCCTATAGCTAGTCTAACCCGAACGTCACATTATAATACGGGTATTTATAGAGTATATAACTATAGACTAGGACTAAGCGTGGACTTTAATATACTTAGACTTAATTAGACAGTCTGCTTAGATAGTTATCTATTGCGCTGTACTAAAATAGAGACAGCGGTCTTACTAATCTTATTTTAGTGCAGGGTCTTAATTCTAGGTCGGCCGCGTGAGCCGTATACTACTTACCCTATAGTACTTCGTGAGCCTATTAATAACCTACCTACACCCCGCTATATCCTAGCGGGAGTCTAGTGCTATTTATTACTAGTAAATTCAGTATTTAGCATAATAATACTCTATAAACTAAAGGAGTGAACCCTATTTTAATGTGTCGAGAATAAGTGCTTTTTTTAGAGCTTAATCACCCTCGCATAGAGTTATATGCTAGTATTATAATTATATATACTAAATATATTATCGACCTATTTATTAGGTTACCCTATTCGGAACATGCTATAACTTCGATAACCCTTTATACGTAGCGAAATTACCCCCGACTTAATCGCTTACCTAAGAGTTATAAATAATTTCGATACTCCGCTTTAACGCCTCTATGCACTACTACGTTTTATAGAAAGAGTTCTAAACTACCTCTCGGGCTTAAAAGCTATATATTTCCTCGCCGTGCTTAATAAATTAAACGATAAAGAATAATAGTATATAAGAGATTAATTCGTTACTTTACTCCGGGACGTGCTTAAATACTTACCTTAGATCGAGAGTCTAATAAATAAAAACTATAAAGTATTTTTAATTAGCTACGATATAACTTTATAGAAAAAATAACTTAAAGATCCTCTCGGATATTAGAAAGAGCGATCTAACCTTGAGAATAAGGAGCCCCTTAAAATTTAGATCGTAGTTAGGATTATTACTAACTTATTTAAGAAATTATTAAATATTTATAGATTTATAAGTTATAATTATTATTCGTATAGAACTAATATTAATAGCTATATTATTATAAAGCCCTTTAATTAAGGCTTAAGTAAGTAAATTCTAAGATATAATATTTTACTAATATCTAAGGCTATTATACCTATATAAAGCGTAGCGTAAAGAAAGTTAATTAAGCCTAATCTTAATAATATTAAGGTTATATAGGTAGACTTTCTTAATAGCTTAGAGTATTTTATTCCTCGCGTTATAATATACCTTATTTAAGAAAACCTTCGAACGATAAATAATACTATAAATAATAACTATTCTTAGCGGAGTCTTAGTTACTTTCGACTCTTATTAAGAGCTTATTATAAGATCTTAGGTATTAAAAAACTTTATTTTTTTATATTATATATTAATCTATATAATAAGAAGCTTTAAGAATATTAGCTTATTAACTTATAAAATAAAAAATAAAAGAAATATAAGTTTATTATTCTTATTAACTTCTTATACTACGGAGCGAAGGTTAATCTAACTTATCTTTTTAGTTTAGATATATATCGTACTTTATAAAGTATTCTATTTATAGATAAAGGCACGAAAGAATATGTATTTAACTCTCGTCGAGGCTATATAATAACGGAGGATAAATAGAATACTTCGAAAGCTATATTAGAGCTTTATATTTATCTTACTACCTTAGAACCTAACCCTCCCTATAAAAAGCTAAGGCTTATAAAGGTTATTTAAGTCCCGAAGTATACTTATAGTTATTAAGGGCTTCTTTAACGGCTTTATAAGCTGCTTACCTTAATATAACGACTTATAAGGAACCTAAGCTAGCTTATACGCTATCTACGCTATAAGTTTAGCTCTCGGTCGAGATTAAAAACTAAATACCGTTACTATCGACGTTTCGTAAGCGATAGGTTAGTAAAGACATAGGCACCGTGTTATTTATATATATAGGCTCGTTGCCTATTTCTTCGCGAAGCGATATATCGGCTTACTAACTATAAAGATAAGAAGCACGAAGTTAGTATAATAAAGAGTAAATAACCAGGGGCGGGAAGTACGAACTCATAGCCTATTATAGCTTATTTATTACTAAGCTAAATATCACCTAAGTTGTATATTAATAGCCTTAGCGTAAGTCTCTAGGGAATTAAGTATTATAGGGAATATCCGCGTATAGATATCGCGATAAATTAAGCTTAGTATAGTATTATATAAGATATTAAACTACGTAACTAGTGCCACGAGCGCCTTTACTCTAAGAGTCGTTACTACCTAAAAATCAAGGTATAAGACCCGCTAGTTATATACCTTAGTACTTAATACCTTATAAATAATAATATATTTATATAAAATAACCTTATTATATAATATACTTATATAAATATTAATTATAATATTTATATATATAATAAATTATTATTTAATATATTTATAATATATTCGGTAAGAATAAAATAGCTTATATATATATATCTTTTTAATCTAACTATTTTCTTTAATTATTTAAATAATTATCTTTTATAGCTTAAATAAAGACTTTTAATTATAACTTAAATAAAGACTATCTCTTAAGGGTAAAAAATATTAAATTCGAAAAATAACGCTCCGAAAATAAAGGTTATAATATTTAAAATATAATCCTAAGGCGTAAAGGATAAGAACTAGACGGGATCCCGTATTTTCCACTAGGTATGGTCGTATGTGACGGTTCGTTTCTTTATTCACTTATATCAAAGCTAGCCCTAGCTGCATCGGCAGCGTCGCTTTCAATGTTATTCCTCGGACCGCTCACTGCGCTGCACCAAGTCTCTCGTGACTTGAATTCCCTCTATCGTCCCCGTGCTTCCCGGTATAATATCTAGTCCGCCCGGCGGGCTGGCCCCTATGCTTGTGACAGTACCTCTACTACCTACCCGCAGCCCTACACGCTCCTCTACGCTCACACCGAGTCCCGGACGCGGCGATGTTCCGCACATTTTCCCCGTTGCTGGGCCAGGACCAGGAGCCGTGGGCGCTTCCTTGTCTGACGGCGAGTCCGAGCTATGGCTGCCGACCATCTCAATCTCGTCGTCGACACGGCGCCTCAGCTCCTCGGTCGAGCTGGCGGATAAGGAGCGTCTGTTAGATTGCCCGAGGTTGCCGACCCTGCTGCCCTGTTCAATGCCGGCGGGCGGAGTACTGGCACGGGGTCCGCTCGTGTCAGTCGCTCGCGGAGGCGGACGCGGTGCGTTCGGCCCGTGTGGGAGCAAGCGGCGGAGGGTTGGGAGACATAAACATATAAGGCCGCAGCACAGCTCGCTAATAGACCAGCTAGCTGCGTCGACGTTGTAGTAGGTGTCGTCTTGTTTTAGGTTGAGGAATGGGATACGGATGGCGGAGATGGCACATGTGCTGTGCGCGCGACCCGGCAATGGTTAGCGTAGGGCTCTTCCTGGCTCATCGTCGGTCCAGCACTCACAAGAAACCCAAACAGAAGATGGCAATCAGCCACCACCGTTGGCCGAGTGGTAGACGCATTTTCCACAGAACAGGGATTGGGAGGACGAAGATCACGACGTCGGTGGTGATGTGGACGGCAGCGTTGATATACCACAGCGGCAGATTCGGGATACACTTAGGATTCAGATCTTTGTCCCAGTATCCTTGGATCGGTTTGCACATGAAAATATTGACAAGCAATAATGACAAGCTCCAGCCTCCGATGATGAGCATAGCCACGATGATGATCCTCCGCATTTGGACGGCAAAGATGCGGTAATACTGCTGCAGAAATGCTAGCTTGATGGCTCCAAGGGAAGCGGCGTAGAAGTTGATAGAGATATAAAAGAGCTTTACAGACATGTAGCACCGGTCAGCGCTGTCGCTCCTGTGTTCTCCCAGCAAATAAATGCAGAGCTCGGTGAACGATATAGTGATGCTGTCTTGTTGGTTGGAGGAAGGACGGCCGACGTCGGCTCACCTTATAGTAGTCCTTCAGCGTCTGCGGCGAAAGCGTCCAGATGTGACGACCGAGGCCATACCTAGTCATCACGCACACGGTGATGGTACAGCCAGAGACAAAGACCTGCGTTCGATTGCCTGTCAGCATGACCTCGAGAGATTGTAAGTCCTTAACTGATTTCGAGAGGGAAACCCACGAGCGATACTAGTGACATCCAATCATCTGCGCCAAGGGAGTTGAGCATCCGTCCCCGCACATAGAAGCGCAGGGCGACAATGATGGAGGTCAAGGAAAGGAGGACGGCGGCAATAGCGATGATGACGGTGCTGCGGTCGTCGGTAGGGAGATCCGCGGCCCTTTGTTGGGCGTCGGCCATGTTTGCTTCCAGTCGTTGCCCCCAGAGTCTTCGTCTTCATCTCTATCTCCTACGCTCAACAGTAATCTACGACGAGAAGAACCGAATAAACGGAAACGCAGGGACGGGAAAAGGCCGGGTGAAGCGCAGCAACAGAGCATACTGCCGGACACTTTGCCTGGCCGGTATTCAAGACTGGCTTGGCCATCTGGAGAGCACATGCAAGGAGCGAAGGTACGGAGAGGTACCTGCACTGACGAAAAGTTCGGCAAGTATGTTATCCCAGTGCTTGCGGACATGAGGAATGTATGGATCGTTACGCTTTGATGACGATTAGGGCTTATTTGGAGGTGCCATGTCCTCCCGTCTAGTGTTCTCACATCCTTCGAGCATATGGCCGCATGGCGTCACAACAGCCCACGTGGTGTAGGGCTAGTCAGCAAAGTTCGGCCACGTTGCTTCGAGATGGATGTAATGGGCAAAACCTAATGCCGGGAAGCTCTAACCTTGCGGAGCGCGCGAGTCATGCCATTTCAGGTTTGTCTCTGTGATGCGACGTTAGGCACGTACAGTGAGGTCCAAAACGAGTGTCCGCTTTTTTGTGGCACAATGAATTATAAGAATGGCGATTTCTGAACGCAGTGGAGACATACAGTGCGAACAGGGACCGGACTCACGAGTGCAAGGTAGCCGTCACATTTGCAAAGGCTGCCGCCCTACGGTGCCTACTATGTGCACCCCGCTATGCATACTTATAACGTTCGGGTTAGACTAGCTATAGGGTAGGTAGATCTAAGGTCGGTTTATAAAATAAGTATACTAGGATATTATAACATTCGGGTTAGACTAGTTATAAGGTAAGTAGATCTAAAGTTAGTTTATAAACTAAGTATACTAAGATATCGTTAACTTAAGCGGTCGGGTTATAGTCTATATACGAGATAGTAGATCTTACGTAGATAATTATATTAATAACTAAGGAGCTAGGTAGAGACTAACTATAGTAAAGCTAGGCTTCCTATATACTAAGTAAATATTATATAATCGACGATAGTCGACTATCGTTTACGAGCGCCTTTATAATATAGTCGACTATAGTCGCCGGTTATTTATAATTATCTATCCTACGTAATATATAAGTAATATATAATAAGAGGAAAAAAACAAAGGGGTATATAAAAGGCGTATATAGTTATATATCGGGTCGTAATATAATATCTCCCTTTCCGAGATTCTATCCTAGAATTAGCTAAGACTTATTAGTTATCTTTCGTAAGTTATACTTAATAACTTCTTTTTTTTATTATACCTAACTATATATAGAAATACTTACTTTCTTATAAAAAGATTAATAACTCGTATTACGTTATCCTAATTAAAGCTATTTATCTTAATAATTTTAAGAGTAAGATACCTTATACTTATTATTATCGCTCTAAGCGCGTTTATTATATAAGTAATAACTCCTATCGTTATATATCGTATATTGAAATAAAGAAGACTTATAATAGTATTAACGTAGCGTCGTACCGTAAGTACTATATATATTTTTCGTACGTATATTAACCCGCGTTTTAATAACGTATATAGTATCTAAGTAAAAATAAGTAAAAGCGGATTTAGAAAAATCTAAGAGGGAGCTCTAAGAGGCCTTAGGGCGCGTTTAATATCTTCGTCGCTAATAAGAATTACTTTAAAGTCGGACCTCGGAGTTAGTATCTTATAGTATATATAAGTTAGATAAGGAGTATAGGGTGCGTTCTTATAAAGAGGCTATTCTTAAGGAGTAATAGGTAGTTAGGCGTGCTTAGGAGTTAGGTATATTTAAGGTTATTGATTAAAGTATAATACCCGATATATTTCCCTTTAATAATACTATTATAATAAGTAGCGGTAATTCTTAAGGTATTTAGTAAGTTCTTATATATTTTCGCTACTTATATAGCCTTTTTATTTAATAAAGTATTTAATTTCTTTATTTAATATTTATTTATCGATAATTTATTTTAGTTCGTAGAGTTCTTCGAGGACTTCCTGTTTATAATTTATTTCTATATTTTATAGTATTTTTTTAAGTAATAAGATATAAAAAACTAGGTATATTCTTATATTTAATGGTAATAAAAGCTTATAATTAGTATCTAAGATAACTTTATTAATTTTAAATAATTTAAATTTTTTATAGTCAAGCTTTAATAAAAGTCGAGTTATTATAAAGTTTTTATATAATAAGTAAACTATATCTCCCTTCCGAAAGATCGGTCCTTTCGATCTTTTCTTATTATAGTATTTCGATATTCGTATATATATAAATTCGAGTTATTTCTTTATATATTTATATAATAAGTATAATTAATTTACTTTAAGTATTATTTTTTTAATAAAAAGTCTATCCTTTAGTATTTTATTACCGAACTCGGGTTTATACCTATAATTCGCGTAGAATAATAAGATCTTAGTTAATTCCGTAAGTATATTATTATAAGCGAGTTAGGTAAGTAATAACTTCGAGACTTAATCGTCTTATTCGTAATTAATATAGTACTATAGGTATTATTTTAATATCTAGTTTAATCTTTCTATCTATCCGTTTATTTATAGGTAATAAGCTATATTAAGCTTATATTTTATTCCGAGTTAAGCTATTAAGGCTTATTAGTATTTTAAGGTAAATATTATCCCTCGGTCTAAGATAATTTCTTTTAGAAAGCTATAGTTAGCTACGATATATTTAAGTACTATATATACGAATATCTCTATATTTATTACTTCTTAGTATAGTAAGAAATATCCGAATTTACTTATTTAGTTTATAATAACGAATATATTATTATATTCGACGTTAGATCTTAGTTCCTTAGATTTAAGTAATTTCGTAATATAATCGAAGGCTATTAATTCTTATAGTCTTAAAAGTATTAGTAATAGCTTTAGTTCTCTATATAGCTTATACCGGGTAGCCTTATTATATATATAATCTTCGTATTATCCGACGATATATATAATATTTACTTTAATTCTTTAATAATTATATATTTATTATATTCTCTTAAGAGTCTTCCTAACTCCTTAATATCTTACTATAAGGTATATATAAATATTAATTAAGATTTTATCGCGTATTAGTAATAGTATCTAGAGTTATTTATTCTTAATAAGTCCTTTCCCTATTTTTATCGTATAATTATTAAGTATTTTTTTTCTATATTTAGATACTTATTCTAATATTTTATTATAGTATATAATATCTACTTTAACTTTATATATAAAGAGGTTAAGTATTATTTATACGTAGTTCCTTTTATTATTTTATTAAAGTATTTAGCCCTTTATTTTTAATATTTCGGTATTATAATCTAATTAGCGACTAAGTATATTTACTCTACCGTTTTCCGATCTTTTTTAATAAATAATCTTAATATTATATTCGGCTAGGAATTTAGTATATCGTACTTATCGTAAGCTAAGTTCTTATATCGTAGTAAAGTAAGAGATATTCTAATAATCGGTATAAACCTTAATCTTAAACTTTATTCTTAGTATATAATACTTAAATTCTTTAATAGCGGCGATAATTACTAAGAATTCTTTATTATAGATAGGGTAATTTAGTTTCGCGTTATAAAGTTTCTTCGAAAAGAAAGCGATTAATTATAGATTATTATTATTATTTTATTAATTAATCTACGCTCCTATAGTATAATCCGATATATTTATTTCTAATTTAAGTAATCTTTCGGGGTTATAAGTTATAAGTATAGTATTAAATATTATATTATCTTAAAATATCTCGAAAGCTTTTTTTTATTTTTCTTTAAAATAAAATTCTTTTTTATTTTTCGTAAGTTTTATAAATAATACTACGATTTTCGCGAAATTGCGTATAAAACGCCGATAGTAATTTATAAATCTTACGAATACTTATACTTCCTTAAGGTTATTTTTTAATAAAGGCTATTCTTTAATTATATTAATCTTTACTTATTTTATTAAGATTTTATTTAGTTAAATTATATATCCGAGGAAGATAATTTTTTATATATAAAACGCGTATTTTTTTAGGTTAATTAAGAGGTTTATATCTTAAAGTATTTTTAATACTTAATAAACGTATTCCTTATATTTTTTAAGGTTCTCCGAGAAGATTAAGATATTATCTAGATATACTATAATAAAGATATCTAAGTACTCCTTAAGTATATTATTAATTATTTATTAGAAAGTAGCTAGAGTATTAGTAAAGTAAAATAATATTATTAAATACTCGAATAAACTAAATTTAGTACGGAAAGTTATTTTTTATTTATCTCCTTTCTTTATATAGATTAAGTTATAAGCTTTTTTTAAGTTAAGAGTAATAAACTAATTCTTATTATAAAGTCTATCCTTAAGCTCGTTAATAAGCGGTAAGGGTATCCTATCTTTAATCGTAATATTATTAAGCTACTAGTAGTTTATAATTAATCGTAGCTTCTTATTCTTTTTTAGCACGAATATAATAGGGTATCTTACTTCTAAGGTAAAGGTTCGAATATAGCCTTTCTTAAGTATTTCGTCGATATATTCTTATAGTATCTTAAATTACTTTTAGTTAAGGTTATAGAGTTTATAGAACTTAGTCGAGATTCTAGTTTTAAGATAAATTTCGTAATTTTATTAACTATATTAAGGGATACTTATTTCGAGGGTTTCTTTAAATAACTTATTATACTTCCTATACTCTTAAGGTATATTCTTTATTTATTCTTTTTTTATTATAAGTTTTTTTTTCTTTTCTTCTTATAAAGCTTAATTTACTTCGAATATTTTTTATATAATATTAGCGATAATTCGTTTTCCTTATTTATATTATATACCCGGTTATAAAGCTTTCTTAATTAATATTATAGCTTTCGCTTACTTTAGCTCGCTTATATCTTTCTATAAAAATACTCTAGAGGCTAAGTTATCGCGAATATTTACTTTCTTTTAATTAAATAATTATTATCGCGTTATTATATCTATCTACGCTAACTAGCTAGTACGCTAATCGATTATTAAATTACTTCTTATTAACTATAGATAACCTAGTATTATATTATATTTATATAAGTCTATAATATCGAAGACGATTATCTTATAATATCCCTATATCGCTATATTAAGATAATCGGTCTCGCGGTCGATAGTTCTATTATTATAATTAAAGCTTTATCCTTCGATATTAAAAAG